TATCAAAAGGAATTACTGTTGAATTAATAACCGATAAATTACCATATAATTTGGTGAAACCACAATTTTCCATCGTTGATCATGCCGTTCATATATCAACTGATATTAGCATACCAGCAAGCATATTTGGTATTACATCATCAACAATTTGTCGACGATTCTAAAATATATCCTATTATAAATTTTTGTATAATTTTTATTTTTTGCTATATTTTCGTATAGTATCATGTGAAATTTTACTTAAAATAATGAATAAACTGATAATTTAACTTCGAGAAGTTGATAATTTTATGTGATAAGAGATAACTTGTGTGATAAGAAGTGACAAGAGGTAATACAAGAAATAATTTCAATGCAAATTTTTTGATTTGAAATTTATCAACAATTAACTATGATTTTGGTAATTGTCTCAATCTATATGATAAATAAATATTGCATAATTTCTACATATAATTAAAGTTTCACACTAATTAATCTATCTTTATTGCGCTAACTTGCATAATATGCTGATAATGATAAAGACATTATTAATGCTATGAGAAACTAAATCAATAATCATATCATTTGGTAGTTATTTTCATTTCCTCGAGAAAAAGTAAGACTGAAAATTTGGTTATTAATGGAAGAAGAAAGAGGACAGAATGTTTATGTTTATAATAATGAAATACTCGAAATGGTTCCTTAACAAATCGGTTAGTCCCTCAACTTTTTGCCTTCCATTCAAATGTCGCATTGATAAAAATGATAAGATTTAAATTCAACTAATGCCAATCAGAACTGAAATTGCACAGCATCAATTTTTCCATGCACTTTAGTTATTTTCTGCCTATTTTTTGGAAAAGCATTTGGGATTTATAATATCAGATTAAGCAATAAATAACACTGGTCATCTCAAATTCATCCTTCAGTAATTTACTATATGGATTGAAATTAAATTACTTTTATCACTTCGTTCATATAATTAATTATTTTGATGATTGTTAGCATCCTACTATTACCATTTATTTTACCTGAAAAAATAACAAATGTACATTTGCGTACTTATCAAAACGAACTTTGCGCTATCTAAAGATTCAAAAAATGCATTTGTCAATATAAAAAAATGTCAATATCAGAAAATTTGTCGATATCAAAAAATCAAAAAATGCATTTGTCGTTATAGAAATTTTAATAATATTCAAATTTTGCTAGCACAGTTTAAAACGAAATCGATACATTCATTTACAGAATTTGAATTGCAGAAATTTAGGCGAAAAATAAAAATTTAATTTCCAGCGCTCAAAAATAACATTTAATGAACATAGTTAATTTGATAAATGATTATACATTATTATCGTTGAAAAGTAAAACTGGATAATCGAAATGTCATTCTTATCATTGTCTGTCTGAATCAGTTCTTCTTCCGTTGCACTCGAAAAATGCGGAAAATGGAACACTGATCCGCTAATATCGGACAGGATGTACACCTAGATTCCGCTGCGGAAGTATAAAAAGCGCTGCTGTTAGATTTTCAACCATTAATGATTCCGCATTGCTCTTTCAGTGTTAAAAAATATTCTTAGATATTGTGTTTACCAATGAAGATTTTGTGCGTTAATGTCGATCATTCTCGACATTGCTTCAGAACATGTTCATCTAAATGATATACTGTTCAAGAATAAATTTACTGTATTATGATGAATTGTAAGATTAACATGCAGAGTATTTGCCATGACGGCGGTAACTTGCCAGACGACATTTACCAGATCATTATTGTGTCATGTGAAGTGAGAGCTCGAATTCAATAATAAAAGTTGATTTAAATGTTAATTTCTTGAATTCTTTGTTGTTGTTTTCTGAATTCATAAATAG